TTGCAACAACAATATCGGGTTTATTGTCGCTATTCACATCGACGACTACTACTGCCCATGGCTGAGTACCAACTGAGTAAGTAGTTTGGTTAAGAAATGTACTGCAGTCTATTAAATACAAAAAGCTTGGTCTCACGTCTGTATTGGCATTAGGCAGTATTTAATCATCGTATTTTATTCAATTTTTAAGAGCTTAACTTAATTGCCATAGTTTATACGAAAAGATCATGTCACTGAATTTTGGGCAATTTCAGATATTCCAGAGCATAACCAAAGCCAGTTTTTAGCCATTCTGTCCATCTCTATGTGACACCTTCTCGTAAATTCGAAGAATCAATGAAGTCGACTTACTCTACTAAAACTTGCTCTCTCTTTAACAAAGTTTCATGATATTTTCGACTAACAGGACGCAGAATACTTTCCAAGTAGAATTCAGAGTTCAGTGCCTAGATGGATCTAGAATTTCATTTCAACATACATATGATTCCTTTTTTGAATTGCATGAGAATATAGAATTCTATAAACGATATGATAATTCTGTGTCATATGAACCAACAATATTTTTACAAAATTCTAAATTCTACTTTTCAAGTGTTTTACAATTACCTGTGCACTCACACTCTATTCTAGTTCTCGCCGAGAACAGCTCAACAAAAAAAAGTTATCTGTTTGCGTTATTGCGAGTCTGTTTTCAGCGTTTGGCATAAGTATGCACGGAGTCAAAAGCGAAATTACATCAAAGTCTAATAGATGTTGTACTATCAAACTAAACTAAGCAGTATAGATTTGATTTATTGTAAGCTGTGTTCTCGAATACTTAGTCTACACATGAATGTACTCTCCAGATTCGACTAGTGTTCTCTCGAGACTTTATTTATGCAAACCACTTCTCCGCTAGTGTTGACTTTGCTTTTTTTTAGTTTACAGTTTCCAAGAAACAGCAACTGAATCTGAGAGATACGCCAGTTAGTCGAGTAAATATCAAAGAACACAAATCACGATCAACAAAAACTTATGATGTATAGCCTGATTTATCAGCACAACGTCTAATAGACTCCGTGCAGCCCCCTATTGATTGATCGAAAACTACCCCGAGATAAAAAATGAAGGACGCACGCGGGCGAGACTATATGCTGGTCGGCGAGAATTGATTGAACGAAAAGCAACAACAACAACGAGGCTTAGTTCTCGCTGCCAAAATCTTCGTTATGCTACTATACTCGAATGCTATTTTACTATTGACAGTCGTTCTAAAACTTGATCTAATGGAATCGTCAGTGATAAGTCCGAATCAACGTCAACTTTTCTTAATGTCGACTCTCGTAGCAGTAGTCTGTACCATCTACACAATGACTATAGTTTGTTATGTCTAGATATGACACTCCTACGAGAAACAACTGAGCCAGTCTGCAAGCGAGTACTATTTGTTCATCGAAATGATAAATGTCTGAACGGTAAAATCTCAAACGTTTTTCGTTAGTGTAACTAATGATCGGTTTGAAAGCGACAAAAAAGTACAGCACATTATGAAGCATATTACTGACCGACTGTTGTTGTTGATGATGTTGTTGTTGATGATGTTGATGATGTAGTTGTTGATGTTGTGGATGTTGATG